TTTAAGCGAGATTAGACAGAAGAAATTACTTGCTACTAATTGACACTGCAGTCTATATATTCATGTTCTTACTGTCGCAGCAGTCACTGATAGTTTTGCTAGAAGATGATTCTGAACAATAGAGTCCTTGCATGCAGCCCACGGTGAAACAGACGCCGAAGTAATGAAGCAGACAGTGATTCACCTACAGAAGTTGAGAAAGGGCTGTTAACTCTTAAATGAAGCAATGCGGCGTGTGAGTATCATGTGGTTCAGGTATCTATTATCGCGCATTGGCGTCACCTTTTGGGTGCATTCCCGAATTTCTAAGTTGTCCGATTATTGCCGATCAACTTCTTCCAAACACGCATCACTGTGATTATAATACGCTGCATACAAGTGATTACTGCAGGGTAGAGCATTGACCTTCACAAAGACCAATGATTCCCTTCACATTCTAACTCTGGAAGCTGTAAAAGTCCTCCCCCCCCCTCTCTTTCATCGAAGATACACATTTCCGACTTATCCAACGTTTACCACTAGCAGGTAACGATTGATTACCGTACACTCGTAATGAACGAAATTAGATACCTAGAGAGCGAAAACGGGCTGGTGTTATTCTCAAAATGTCAAAGAGTAAACTGACAGAAAAATACGATGAGAAAACTCAACTGAGGGGAAAGAGACAAAGGTACCATACAAGCATTCCTGCATCAATTTCTTACGGTCGTATTCTCAATTGCGAGTTAAACTCGAGTTATCCCCGAACTGGAGGTAACTCGCAGATTGGAGAAACATTATTATTCTCAACTTCGGATCGAGCCAAATCCACGGATTATTCATCCAAATGTAACCCGCAGATTTCGTAGGGTAACTCGTGAATTTCCCGCGAACTCGCGAAACTGTTTGTTAACAAATATGGACGACCGCTTCGATTTTTTTCTACTTGAGGATTTCGAAACATAGGAAAGTATTGAAAGATGGCCAGTTTTCATTCCTTAACATGGGAACAACGTTAGCAATTCAATACTCTTTTTTTTTCATGAGTCAGCTAAAAATTACGTTTGATGTTATGATTCTATGTTAAAAAATGAGAACTCAAAACTCGTGTTATTTTAAAGTTTCAATTTATATTTTGATTGTATACAAGTATATATATCCTAATCTATTTTTCTTTTTGATTTAAAAATTTCCAGCAACCTTTTGGTAGTTTAAAATAGAATGTTTATTATGTGTATATAATCATTAATTTAAATATTTTCTGATATCTAATTATTATTCTTAATTCATGATTTCTATAAAATCTTAGAATGAAAAATCCAGTTTTTATGTGAAGAATAAATTTGTTAATTGAATCTTAGGCCCCATTAAGTCATATTTATCTAAAACAGGACATGTTACTGAATCTTTTCCAATTCCATCTAACAAAAATAATTATACTATTGGTATTAATCTGATTTTATTTGTCACCAAACACTATACATACACACACATTTATCAATATTTTACAATATAGAACAGAAAACAAATTTTAAATATACAAAATATTTAAAATCCTCAGAAAAGGATATTTTGGTAGCAGAAAAAATTCAAAACTAACTATTCCTACTTACATTTTTTAACATTTCACTTTACGAAAAAAAACACTACTTAATTAGTTATTATAGTAACTAATAGTAAGTAAATTAAAATAAAAAAGTAATAAATATATTTAAAAAAAAAATGAAATTATTCTGAAAACTTGCGAACGTATTTTGTACATTTAGAAAATAGGTATAATAAATTTTAGTGAAGTTATAATTCATTATAAAATATGACATTATCATACTCTTAAAAATCAAGCAAACAATAGAATAAATTTCAGTTATAAATGATAAAATGAAATCTGATTATTTAAATGACGATAAAAAGTTCATTTTCTTCAAAATCTAGGGACTTTTCCACTAGAAAGCATGAGAAAGATGTTTCTTTTATTAGTTTCTGCTGCAATAAATGATAGCATTTAGAAGAATTACATAAATTCTATTATTTAGTATAATTTAAAATGCATACATTAGTATTGTGTTAATTTAATATTAAATTAATATGCTACTACAGTTTTTAATACATTAATTTTTTGACCACACTACAAATTATTCCACTAAAATAAATCTTATTCATCGAAAAGAAATTTTGTGAGTTATTACCTACTTTTACTAAATAACTTTACTTTTCTGTAAGTCCTTCATTATACATAACTTTTCATACTATAAAGGGGATTATGCACAGTTTATAAGTTAATGAGAAATCACAGTACATTTTCAAGTTTTATACATTGTACACATTAAGCAATGATAATTACTTTAATACATAACTCCATATTTTTGGAAGTTAATTCTGTTTAATTCATTTTTAATTAGGTGTAATAATTTATCATCTTCTATTATATATGTGTATGTCATCTTTATTCTTTTTATGAAAATACACATACATTTTACGCACAACGTGAGTTATTTTTTTACATAATTCGAATCAAATTTTTGTAAGCACAATAGACGAGTGGTCGTGGTCACAAATTCATAGCCAGCAAGTTTGGTGCTTTTAAAAATCTGAAATCTGTCATCGTTAAAAGTCCTCAGGTTGATGTGCTGTGGCAATTTAGAGAGTTACTAATCCAGGTGTGTTGTCCTTGATATTTGAAAGAGGTTCAAATGATGAGGTCCATTGCAAATATACCTCATATTGCTTTAAGATGCAAAATTTTACTTATAAATCAAATCAAACCAACTGAATTTTTAACTCTTTTTAAGACCATGTTATTTGAAATTCCTGGATCACACACACAGAAAAATTAACTTATAAATTTTAAAAGTGTATTTTGAAAAGAATTATTTTAAATTATTGATTATTTTACTCAACATTTCATAATGTGATTCATATTAGAGTTCTTTTATGTAATAAAACACAAATCACACTATCAGAAAAATCTATTCAGAATAATACGGAAAATTTAAGTTAAAAGCTAAATAAAAACAAAAAAAAAAAAGTCCCTGTACATATACCTTGAGTAAGGATAATACTGCTGCTGTTTCCTGATGAAACAGCAGTATCATAATCGTCGTTGCAATCGTATCTACACAAGGCAATGGCTCAATGAGGGCACCCATAGCGGTCAGCAGTTCATCTAACGATGTGGTCAGTAACTTTTTGGTTCCTCCACCAGTTTTTAAAGTTTAAACATTTTACAGCTTCTTCGTTTTTGTGATTCCTTCTGCATATTTATATATTTATTTTGCAGCTGTTGTTGACTTCGTTTCGAAAGGCTGGTGGGCTGTATTGAAATCAGTACTCAAGCAATCCCATGCTTTTTCTTTTTTCTTAATGTAAACTGCGCTGGTTATCTTGTAATAAATAACATCTTGTATTTTTCAATAAGATTCTACTAGAGAAAAGTGACTTTTATTTGACGTAGTAACTATGAGAAGAAAAAATAATAGCTGTGAATCGAACGTCTTTCGCCAAGATACAAGATATATGTAAATAATATACCACGTGATTATCAGTGTCCAATCACAATGAGTTTCACATTCCGCAAACGCTGAACTCGCGGATCTGGTAATTGTCAGTTTGAGAATAAGAAACGGGAATTAGCCGAGAGTTATCGTCAAGCGGGGGTTACCCAATCCGTGAGTTTTCTTTTCAATAACTCGCGATTGAGAAAACCTCCGTTAGACTGATCCAGGAGCCTTTTAAGGTATCCGACTACGTTCGGAACCGTGATTTTGCAAAAGCGCATAAATGGATAATTTTCATGATATTTAGTGTCACTTTGATTAAAATACATGTACAAAATTGTTTTAAGGACACATTTTTACAAAAAAAAAATATTTAAATACAATATTTTGGCAAAAAAATAACTTAGAATAATTCTTTTTCAAAATGTTCTCCTTTTGTGAAAAATGCTTCTATTATAATAATATTTTGCCTGTCTATAGCTCAAACCTCTCTACAGAGGCTCAACTAGAATTTTTGATATATGTAGCTTAGAAGTGGGTTTAGCCATATTTTACGACAACAGAGGGGAGCAATTTAAAAAAAAAACGCCGATAATTATTTCAATTGGCGGTAACTCTGAAAATAATGTGAATTTTTCAAAAATTCTAGTTGAGCCTCTGTAAAATGGTCTGAGCTATATACAGGCAAAACATTAAAATAATAGACGCATTTTTCACAAAAGGAGAACATTTTGAAAAAAGATTATTCTAAGTTACTTTTTTGCCAAAATATTGCATTTAAATAATTTTTTTTTTGTCAAAATGTCCTTAAAACAATTTTATATATGTCTTCTGACACTTAATATCATGAAAATTGTCCATTTATGCGCTTTTTTAAAATCACCGTTTCGAACGTAGTCGGATACCTTAAAGGGTACATGATAAATCTCAAATTCCATTCTTTTTGCATAAAAACGAGGCTTCTGAATGTTATTCTCAGGTCGTCTTCGTAGATGACGTCTTAGAGCGACATCTCTCGGATGCATTGGAACTCCCAGCAGAAACAACATCTTAAAAATTTGTCAAATATTTGTTTCGAGTTTTTATTGTATAAAAAAAAAAAACTGTAAAGTACACTCTATGTTACGAAAAACATCCAAATTAACAAAAAAGTACAAAGTCATTAAAATGTACGTTGTCGGACACGCTGTATTTATCAGACACAAGGGCCCCTGCCGTCCAAAATGTAAAATGGTCCATCACGTCTTTTACGCTGTACTTGGTGCGAATGAAGAAACAAATAGAACAAGTAACATAAACAAAAATTAAGTCAATTCCTACTTAGGTCAACAAAGAAAAATTTCATTTCAGTTACTTTTTATTAAATAGTTACGATTAATATATGTATATACATGACATAATCACAATATTAAGTGACAAAATAGAAAGCGATTTTCCATTTTCCCATCAGTATATGGTGTTGGATTTTTTTTTTCTTTGTTACTATTTATTCATTAATTTAAAAAAAAGCATTCTCAGAAATTAGGCAATCCCAGGTGGGTTTTGAACCCACAGCCTTTGGATTCGAAGTCCAACTCACAATCCATTGTGCTGCAAGGATACAACGTACGATTTTCCTTTCTATATATGCTGTTGAACTATTATTTTTGTTTGTTTATTTATTCATTTTTTAATTATTTTTATGAGCTAATATTTGAAAAAACTGTATTAACATCAAGTGTCATGCACTACCAATTAAGAAAAATATATTTGAACTTGATGGATGAATAGAAAGTATTTTACAACGATTGACAATTTGAACAAGATATATATATAATAAATTTGTATAATATTTCAAAAACCAGAAATAATATATAATGAACATAACAAGAAATAACGTAAAAAGAATATAAAAACAAATATATATATATATATATATATATAGGGAGAGATTGAACTAAAGTAGGAATTGAAAAAGGAGGGCCACATTCCCTCCCATCGTGTAGACACGGCACCCAAACTTTTGCTTTGCATCTCAAAGATTCACGCGCCTAACGCATGGTTAAACCATACATTATGCTTTCTGTTCAGAATATTCTTTACATATTAATAAAAGTATGATAACCTCTTGCAGTAGATTCTTCAAATATATTTTATTCTTTATAGCATTATTATATATTTTTGATTCATGAAATAAAATTTCTGCAGAAAAAATTATTATTATCATTTATTTTGGGCATATACGAGTATATATGGTAAAATTGGACAGACAGTTCAAAATGAAAAATTTCACTGTTAACATATGAAAACACTAATTAAATGATGATTTCATTTGCACTGATTTGGGTTTCTTTACAATCCATTTGCTATTGTTTTTAAACTGTTTTTTTGCTATTTTTTTTTTTTTACGTGAATTCTTTATTTGCACAATATTTGTTTTACTAAAAAAACTAGAGATATATTTACGCTGATAATTGGGAAAACGATAGTTAGTGCAAGGACACAGATAAAAAATATTGTTCTTTCATAGTTTAGTTAATTAAGCGCATTAGCATGAACGGTCATTTTCAATAATAAATAAAATTTATATTTTGATTATTATCAAGTATTCTATGTAAATTAAATATTTCAGTAATTAATGTCTGCTTTGTTAATATTTCATATATTTATTTTATTTTTCTGCTTTCAGAGGTATAAGTTTATTTCCTTAAATTCAATTTGAATAATATAATATAGTAAAATTTATACATCCAATATCATGTATACATTTTGGATCGAAGAACAACTTCTCTGTCCAAAAGCGAATTTAGAACTACTTAACTAATGAACCATTTACATTCTTAAAACAATTAGTTGAATTTTTTTTACAAATTCTTATTTTTTGCTTAAGGACTGGATAATTATATGTACTTTTTCTTTATACTTTGCATAGACGTTGACACTTCTGTATTATTACTCAATTCATTAAGTTTAATCTTGTTAAAGTGCGCCACTGCACAAACTTTTTCCCTAGATTTTTTTCCTTGAGTTTCTCGTCGATGAATTAACCTCTTCTATTCTCTAGTCTGGAAATTTCAGCGCTTAACCAATTTTTACTTCTTGGTAGAGTATATCTTCTTTTATTTATCTTTTTAATGCATTGGTTTTGCACACCAGTGTAGAATAATTATGCATATTTATGTATTAAACATTTAAACATACTAGGGGGTGGGTATCCCCATTGTACAAATTATACAACTGTTCATACATATTGCTCAAATTGTAAAACTGTAATTTACGTGTTTTATGTGCATTGGTGATCAAAATAAAGACAGTCTTTAGATTGTCGATTAGATTATCTCTAGTTGGAAGGTATGAAATAGCAGCTGCAAAATATAACCAAAAAAATTAGTTAAAAGAGGATATGGCCCCTTCTTTCAAATAAACAGGGCTACGGAATATAGAGAACCGGTAATATACCGGAATAAGGGAATTTATGTGTTCCAATGACAATTAATCCCACTCGTTCAGAAACTCTATTTTCTGGCCTAGGATGGGTTTTAGAGGAGATTTGAGAGTCGCAATTGGCCTTCCAGAGCGTCTCATGCATGCTCTGTAGGGATGAGGTCTTTAGATTTAACTGTTCAATTCATTTCGCGAATATCCTCACTTTCCAGAAATTCGTTGAGCAGATGAGCTATATGCACCTCATGTGGTTATTCATTAAAATAAAATAAGTTCCAATTGCACCCGTGAAAAAAGGAATAAAGGGCTCCAAGATCTCCTCCCTATACTTCGCAGTAGTCACAGAGCCTCTTTCAAAGATTTAAAGGTGTACGCGACCATCCTACGTGATGCTTACCCAGACCATCAGGTTGATTTCTCGGACATTAGAGGTCAGATAGAGGAGTTTGATTGTCTTCATATATTCTCGCCTTACTTGTAGAACCAACCATGTCATAGCATATAGAGCTGTTAAAAAAACTTACAATTCTGTAATGATAAAAAAATCAGTGGAGTTTATTCAACTGGATTGTGATCTACGTTCTGTAAAAAAAAATTGCTAATTAAATTAAAAACGCAGACTGCACTCTTGAACTCGATTTTTTTTTGCTTTTATTCACAACCGGTTATAAGGTTTGCAATTTATCGTTCCGTGTAAATATTTTTACACGTTCATACAAAGCCTCCGCATCATTATAAATGTCAATTTGTCCAAACTGGGGTTATGTACCAACAAATTTATTAAAGCATCAGAAAAAACTGTTTTTGTATGAAGAGATATATGCGTTTTTAAAAGAAAAATATTTCTATACGAATAACAAAACGATGGTTGATGAAAATTAAAAAAAAAAATACCTGAAAGAAAATACAGTATGAGCTACAGGCATAAATACAATCTTATTTTAAAAGTTTCTTTAAAATTTATTATTGCAATGCTTTATTTTTTGAATGATAGCGTTAAAAGTTATACATAAGACATACATTCAGTAGATAGTTGATACTTTAAAATAAATTTTACTTAACTTTTAAAATCGAACTATTTATTTGCATTTAAATGTAGATTAACTGTTGTGTAGAAAATTAATTTACTAATAAATTAATTTTTCATTCAGCTTTCCTGTCGAAGGCTAAACCAAAAACTTATTGAATATCAAATCATCATTATCTTTAAGAACTAATGAAAAATAATGAAGTGAATTGAAGTAAATAAAAACTATTTCAAATTTAATTAGTTAAAAATCTTCAATCCTGATATTTTTTAATTTTATTTGAAATAAACTAGTTTACTTTGTGACAAATATACGCTGTGAATTTTCCTTTAAAGCTTCATTGTATTTTTAAAGTATAAGTATAAATTTATTAATAATAATTGTAACCCTATATACATAAGGGAAATCGAATGATATAAAATTGAAATTTTTATTTATTTAAGAAATAATTTTACTAGTTATACGTATATACTCCAACAATGTACATTTATTCATAAGGAAAAAGTTTTATGCTCTCTTATGAAAATAAAATTACTCTCTGGAGTATTAAAACATTTCTGATGATAGCACTAAAAATAACAAACTATATATTTAACATGTCTCTTGAATTTATAACATTGTAAATCAAAATTAGCATAGGATATAATAGAATTTCTGCTATACGATGCATTAATCTTTTGTATAAATCACAGAATGCGTATGAAAAAGATGATTAAATCAAATCCCAAGAGTTTTTTAAACATAGATGATTCAGGTTTGAACATGTTGTCGCAACACAACTGACATGCAACAAAAAGTGTTGAGTAATTTTAAAGTTTCATTTCAAGTTTTAATGTTATATATTTTTATTAATTTATTTGTCATGGATGTGTTTTAAGAATATGAGAAAGGAAAATTCGTGCCTCTTCTTCTACATAACAATACAATTTTATATTACTTTTCTTATATATTCCAATTCTTATTTGAAATTGCTCATTAAACTTGTATTTGCGATAAAATTGAAATATAATACCTAAAAAAGTGAATGTATTAATAAAGAATATTATGTAAGTTTTGATTAAGCTTTTTTGATCATGTCTCATTATATTGAAAGTCGACCGAAAATATTTATTATTATAAAACTCTAGTTAAAAAAACGCTTCTTATATATACAAAAAAAAATGTGCGTGAAAAACCAATACATTCTTCGTACAACTTTCCATGTCGATGCAGAATGAATATTAGAATGTAAAGTAATAGTAACACTACAGAATGTCTAACTATAATTCCTAACTAATAAGGACAAGTTTGTACTATTATTCGGTCTAAAGTGTAGTTATCCGTTACCTTTTTAAAAATGAATCAATGTTATTTAGTCGGGATAAAATTTTACAAAGAAAAATCTCATATGTCGAGGAACTGTCTATTTTACAAATAACGAAGAAAATATTGTATTAATATTTATTCTTTTGTAAAACTGACAGTTTTGGTGCCTGTTGGAATTTTTGGAAAATTTTGTCTTAAGTTTTTTTTTCATGTTTTAGTTCAAGGCAAAATAAATATTGGTTTGTTTATATTTACCGCTTATTAAAATAAACCATTGGATTAAATTTTAATTAATAATAATATTAATACTATTAATCATCATTTAAATGATAATTAATTTCTTTTTTTTCCTTTTTAAGTATGTGTAATATTTATATGTAAAATCTTAAATATTATTGAAATGAAAAGAAAATTATTTTGAAGTGCTACTACAAAATGGGACTACTTTTAAATGTGATTAAAAATAACTGGAACATTTATTTCTTAATATACACTTTGAAAGCAATCTTTTAATTTAGTTCTCCATTATAACACTCAAAAATATGATTCACAAAAAAACAAAGTTATTTGCAAATAAAAATGGGCGATTCATTTACTCTTATCCAAGGAATTAGAACTAATAAAGGATATGCATATATTTCTATAGGCATACTATCCAAATTTCGGTAAAACATCATGTATTTTATGGAAGTTGTTTAAATAATTCAAAAAGCAGCCTATGCAGATAAAATCAATCCAAATGTGAGTAGTACATTTGAAAACAAAAATTTAAATATATATTAAACTAATTTTATTAGTATCATTTATTTAAATATTAAAATTCTCCACACCCTATGTTTAAACT